CTTCCCTCTCCTTTCCTCCTTCCTTCTCCCTCCCTCTCTCTATCTCTCTCTCTGTCTCTGTCTCTCTCCTTTCTCCTTTCTTCTCTCTCTCACCTCCCCTCATCTCCCTGAATTCCTAGCACTAATCTCTATTACTATCTCTTTAATTCCTGAGCTGCCTCCCCATCCTCTCTAGTCATTACAGGTTGAGGCCATGGTAAGAGCAAGACATGGGCAAATTGGGAGAGGTGTGAAGTATGAATCCTCTTAATTTCAATCCATCTACCTAGTGATTCAACCTTCTAAAAACTTCTGCCCTCCCTCCCCCTGAACATGACGGCTTCTCATGCTCACAGCACCATTCCTCCATACACCAGAATATATCTGTCACTGAGACTCCGAGGTCTCAATGCCCACAGCCCAGACTTTGTCCCCCAGCCAATATGTAGACATTCCTTCACATAATTCCCCATGCACAAACTCCCACGTATATAATCACGCTCATTCACACATGCATATTCATATGTGTACTCACATACATAGGTGCTCACACAGATGTACACTCCAGGGAAATAAGTTTGAAATGTCGCTAGCTCTAAGGATATGAAAGACTATGTGTCAGGGATGGAAGCCAGTACTGGGCCTGTGTCTCAGTGCTGTGAATGGGAGTTCAGTGTCAGGGATGAAGATTCAGCACAGGGATGAGGGCTTAGTGCCAGCAATAAAGGATCAATGTTGGGCATGTATCTTGGTGCTGTGAATGGGAGTTCAGGGACAGGCAAGAAGGCTCAATGTCAAGTTAAGGGCTCCCTTTCAGTGATAAGAGTTGACTCAGGGGATCAGTGCTGGAGATGGGTCTCATTTTCATGGATGAGAGTTCAGTGACAGGAATGAGGATTCAGAGTCAAGGATAGGAGTTCACTGGGGAGCACAGTGTCAGGGGTAGGAACATAGCACAGGAAAAGAGGAGACAGTTTTGAGCATGAAGGGTCAGTGTTGAAGAGACAGGCTCAGTCCTAGGTAGGAGGTCTCTGCCTGGATTGATACTAAATGCTGAGCACTAGAGAAGAGGGGTTGGGGTGTGAGGGAGCTGCTGCCAGGAGATAACAGGGAGTTGAGAACCTCTTCTAACCCCAGGCTCAGAAAGCCACTGGCCATTCTGATACAGAGTGTATCCCTACTGAAACATCCCCTGAGACAACCCCAAAGAGAGCTGTTCCCACTCTGGCAGCCTGCAGAGCAGAATCTGCAGTGAGCAGCCACACAGAATCAGGCTGGAGGGCTGGCTTGAGAGGAGGAAGCCCAGCCTGGCTCTGGTCCCTTATTGCAGAGCATCGGCAGTGCTCAAAGGAGGCCCAGGGTTGGCAGGGAAGACCTGGAGCCAGAAGGCTGCGCCAAGAGCCCAAATAAGAACCACCATTTTAGTGGCACCTCCACTCAATGGATATTCCCCCTTCCAAAGCTATTCAAAATAGGTGAGAAAGGGGAATATGGACATATTGAGGGACAAGGTGAGGGGCTAGCTGAGGAACCTCTGGGATTAGAACTCTGAAGTCCTGGTTCCCATGTTAGGGTCCCAGTATGGTCTGGTGGAAAGGATGCTGGCTTTATAGTCAGAGGACCTGAGTTCAATCCTGACTCTGCCTCAATCCCTGGCACAGAGTAAATACTTAATAAGTGGTTATTAACTGACAGTCTCCTGTACAACCCTCAGCAAGTCATTTAGTCTGTCTGGGCCTCATTTTCCTCATTGGTAAAATAAGAGGCTTGGAGTACATGGCCTCTTACGTCTATTCCAATTCCACATGTATGAGCTAAGATTCTATGACGTAATGACTGATTGTCCTCATCCCAGGGTAAGGATAGAGACCTAGTCCTCTGTATCTTTTATCAGAAATAAGAGACTGACAGGAGCATGAATCACTGGACCCTAGATGCTGGGGTCTGGTCTCCCCAGGAAACTATTCTTTCCTCATTATCACAAGAGTTAAGGAACAGGCACTGAAGACTTCAGAAAGAGAGGGTTGTCCTGCTGTCTTCCTTCTCTCCTTTTGCCAAGCAGATAAAACCAAGGGCTTATGAATCAAATCTGGGTCTTGTGACTCCTGGTGCCCTTTCTACTGCCCCATAATCCCATCTCAAAAAAGCACAAGATTTAAAGATGGAGAAGATTCTAGAGACCAACTTGTCCAAGACCTTCATTTCACAGAGGAGAAACTAAGCCCAGAAGTGACTTATCTAAGGCCATATAGTAAAAGTCCAAGCTAACATTCAAATCCACTTCCTCTGATTGTGCATTTTTCCATTGGCCCATCCACAGACAAGTAGAAATGATACT